ATAGACTGCACTGTAGGAATCGGAGGAGAACAGGAGTTAAAAACTGCTGCTTGTGCTCACGTATGAGGAATTACATATAACACAGAATCATGGAATGGCTTGGGCTGGAAGGAACCTCAAGGATCATCGAGCTGTGAGTATGTCACACATACTGCGTGCAGTTATGAACAAGGGTATTCACACTCTTCAAATATTACCTCTACAGCAAAAGAAATGTTTACGTCATGATAGATATTACAAAGATTTCACAGATGTACACACAGGAAAAAAAGAATGAGCAAAATTGAGTTTGCCACTAATACTAGGCAAACAAGAACTATTTTCTTAGTCTGTGCTCTTAAACAACATGGAAAACTCTATTATGCATTCAAAAAGCTGTTTAGAACAGTTAAATTCAAAAGGTGTTTTTAGCCTCAGATCTTTCCAGTGTGTTCTCCAGCTGTGATTTGTTATCAAAGGAAATAAGCAGTGTCTGAAAACTGGAGATGCTTAAGGGACATTGGTTTGACAAAAATCTGAAACACTGGACAAAGTTGAAAATTATTCTTGAAAAAATCCCTGAGGATAGTTAAAGAAAAATAAATCTGTTAATGAATCTTGTGTCAGTGCCTCAAAGGGGCATCACTTGGAAGTATTCCACATAGAAACTATTAAAAAAAAAATTGAGGGGAACTCATTTCAGAATTTAGAAATTGAAATACTTATTGCATAAGATAATAAACAATGGAAATATGAAATTAAGTTTGGAAGCTCTAAAACATCTATCATAAAAACAGTATACTTTGCATATCAAATAGCAAACAAGTTCAGGAGGAAAAAAACCTGACATAATGCAGTATGTTATAAAACTTCTGAAAATAAAGTCATACCCTCCACAAAGAAAATGATAAATCTGTCTCTAAACTACCATATAGACAGTTAATATCAATTGCTATAGAACTGCTCATAAATAAACAATATTAGATATTAGATTTCTTTTTCTCCTACTGGGCAACTGAACATAACACATCTGCTACCATGGATCAGATCCATTTCACAGTAAATACTCATGAGAACATTCAAAATGATACTCAGTTGATAACCTTCACGACATCCTGTTGCATATTTGTCTTTACAGGGCTTCTTTCATCAAAAGAATCATTAGCTTTGAGGCCTGATGTCCAATGGCCTTTAGATCTTGTTTTTCATTTGACTTTCAGCATTTTTATTAGCAAATTTTTCTAACAAGTGCACGTCTCTACTATCCAACACTAACACACTCAAGCCAGCTTATCACACATGTCTTAAGAAGTAGAATGAGACAACGATTGTTTTTTATTGCTGTCATACTGGGTTGAGAAAAGCAGTTTATTGTGGAAATCTACATTGAGAATTTTAAAACTGACAATTACACAGCCACTATGCATTAACTGGCACTCACTTAGGGGAGGTAAGCAAGCTTCCCTGTGAAGATAACAAACATACAGCTTCTGTCTTCAGCCTTTTAAAACTGAGAGAGATAAGGAGGTTAGGAATACTCTGGCAGATTCTACCTTTGAGCACTGAACTATTAATTTACACAAAATACTACGTTAAAAATACTATTAAAGCAATGCAAAGCGGCATACTGAGAGTTTATAGGGAAACTTCATAGTCCTTCATCATCATGTCCCTGAGCACCACATCCAAACGGATTTTAAACACACCCAGGAATGGTGACTCAACCACTTCCCAGGGGAGCCCATTCCAGTGCCTAACAACCCTTTCTGTAAAGAAGTTTGTCCTGATATCCAACCTAAACTTACCCTGGCGCGACTTGAGGCCATTTCCTCTTGTCCTGTCACCTGTCACCCTTGTGCCGGAGATGCAGCAAAATTATTTGGTGATCTCACAAAACACTTGTAAGGCTATGCACTAATGAATGACTTCAGCAAAAGATTTTAACTCCACTGAAAGATTATGCAGAAAAAGCCAGGCGGCAAAGAGCAAAGCAAACAACTCTTATCCATGTGTCTTTGAAGAGAGAAAGAGCGAATGGAGAATATAAAAAGTAAATTCTTTCATTGCACGTATTCCATCTCTTTGAATGTGGGCCCCTGTGAAGTTTTAACTCTCTCCACTTTCATTTGCTACTGCAGCAGTAGCAAGTTATTTGTTGAGAGCCTGCTGAAGGATATTTAACACAGACGTAATGCAAGGAAGAGTAAGCGCAGGATTTCTGGGCACCATCACCTACCTAGAATTCCCTCACATACCTAAAATCTATAAAAGAAACAGAGATAATTTGAGGTACACTTTTTGGAAGGTGTTTGCGTTTCAGTCTCACAAAAAATACACATATAACGTTATTTTGTAACAGCTGGCTTGTTGCTCTGCAAAGCAGTCAAGCAGACAGTCTAAGTCCCACGCAAGGACTTATCTCTTGGATGTCTTTTTTTTTTTTTTTTTTTAAATAGCAAAGTTGCATAAGCCTAAGTAATTACAATTTTTATACTTTTAAGGGCTGGGATGTCCCAGTTTTCATCAAAAAAGTAGGATTTGGCTGAGACAAACCACTGTTAGAATCTGAATAGACTTTGTTTCTTGCAGAATAGACAAATGCTGCATTCATAAATATATGCAGGCTGAAACGATAAGGGTACTGTTAATTCCATCCTATTATGCCATAGTCTAATTAAGGCAAATTGCTAAATGTGGGAATTCTAACTGGCTGCCTAAACCCCAGGGTGAGTCAGGCACTGCACACAAGTTTGGCTCTCACCTATCCCTGAGAAATTCCTGAATTGCTTGAGTCCTTGAAAGGTCTTAAAAAGTCCCTAAAAGTTTTGAGTCCCTAAAAAATCCTTAAAAGACATTTTGAGGAAAAAATCTCTCTTTTGGAGCTGTGCTGTTTGCATAATATACCTATAGTAAAGGAAGGACAAAGACAGAAAGACCAGCACGCTGGATCTGAAAGTCCCATATGAAGTAAGATACCTGTACTCTGCTCATCAGGCTATAGAACATTTCATACAAAATCTCAGACTAGAACACATTAGATAAAGTAGCTTAGATAAGAAATTTAAAACTCTGCACTAGAGAAAAAAAATATTTTTCATACATCAGGAGTACCTTCTTCATTACCTGATAATAGTAAACCAGACAAACTGCACCATCTCTGCCTTACTGTAGAATTATTTAATTTTCTCACTTTCAACTTGCTTCAAGATTTATTTTTAAACTCCCAACAAAACAAAATTAAAAACACAGATCCATACATATTCCTATAAGAGACTGGTTCAATTTTCTTTTATCATTAAAATGTTTCCCTCACTGTACTGAAACCTTGCCCAACAAGTGAGGGACTTGATTCAGTGCATGAGTCACTGACTTGTAAGTCTTCTGTTCTTTAGAACCAGGTCTTGTATTTATTGAGAACAGATAGTTAGAGGCAGTGTTGAACACTATAAATCTGCAGACTTTAAATTTAAGACTATCATTTCATAAGGTGGATATATGTCTGTCAGAGTAAGCTAGTGAAAATGCAATTTTCTAATTCACACCATAATAGTTCCTGAAGCTTTGAGAACTTCCAGAGCAGTTATGTTTTGAGTCAGTACTTTGAAGTATATCATGAAGGTCAGCCACCTTTAGTTCAGGAGTGCACTGATTTTTGTCCAAGGTTAAGGGTTTCAAAAACATGTTTTGAACACAGTGAAAAGATACTTGAACTAGGATGTCAACCAGCTATTTAATCCACACTGCCCAAATGCTTCTTTTGATTGTCCTAGACTATTAGTAACAAAACGTAAAAGAACAGCACAAAGCATTGTGTCTTTTTTCTGGTTTCAGCTTCCCAGTGCTACCACTGCTGGGGCAAACAAGATGATGATGTTTTTTCCATTAAATTGAGATGTCTTTGAGCATGATTACAATTCTGCCTCCAGCCAGGATTTCTGCTCACCACTACCACCGCTCCTTTACAGGCAGTGAAAGCACCTGTCAATTTCTTCTTCACTAACACCCCTAAAACTACATTGTAACTGCATGAAACATAAATTTTAGCAATTGTGTATCAGCAGTGTTGCAACTTGGCACAAGCACAGGACGGGTGAGTTCCGTCCCCATATTAGCTAATAACTTCAGTTTTGCCCCACGAAAAAGAGAAAATGTGTCTTCTGGAAAACTACACAAGAGGGGAAAGAAGAAAGGAAATAGGTTTTTTCAAAGTCTGAACCTCCCTAAGGATCATCGTAAGAATCATTCAGGAGATTGTATAATACCAACATTCACTGAATGCTGAGCATGCCTGACTTCTGGATATGTAGCATGGATAATTTTGCAGCATATCTTTTAATTCCAGCTGGAATTAGAAATATCAAATTGTTTAGGGTGGCCATCAACACTGAAAAATTTTTCCACATTAGATTTTTATCAATGGACTCAATAATTACAGAAAGGCCAATGGAGAGTATAAATCTGGAGAGTATTCATACTTGAATTCTTCTGGTTGAAGTATACACATAAAAATGAAAGGGTTTTGTTGTCAGTTTCCTTTGTTTTTATCTTTTTAAGAAGCATGGCTTTCTTTCCTATGGAAGGGTCCTGTTCAAAAGCAGAGGTTCTGTCTTATATGCATTGACCTCATGATCACCACAGAGAAGACGTTAAGCTTAGATAAATGAGTTCAGTGGTTGACTTATGGTTCGGGCCCTACTCTCATTTCTTCCACTCCTTTCAACTCTGTACAAGGCATTTGTGTGCTCTGATAGGGGCAAAATGCATAGTACTCATCTATCTATTCACAGATTCTGGTTTGAAAGTCTAGATATTTAACCAAATATGATGCTACAACTTTGTGATGCTGTATTTGAACAGTCTGGAATTAGTTATCCACAGGCTATATAACCATCATTCCTTTCATAGTTGAGATGTCATCTATGTAAAGATAGAAAAGAAAAAAGAAAAAAAGAAAAAAGAAAAAAGGAAAACCATTTTTCAGTTCTGCTTTGTGCAAGTACATGGGAAAAAATCAAACTCACTTGCAGGAAATCTTTGTGCGATCAGCCACCATGGTCCATTGCTGCTGATTTGTTGAAACCTCTATGTAGTAGCTGTAGCTTCGATCATCACAGTCCCAAAGCAGTAACCTAAGTATGAAGAAGCAGTTGAGTATAAGTAAAACAAATGCCAAACCAAGATGCTTACTTATGTTTCCTAGTCCTGTACTTCTGCCTCTTAATCCTTTTTATATTAATTTTATATTAGTATGTCTCCAATGCTCAGGAAGGTCTTTACTGTTATTGCCATCTCAATGTTATCTCTATACTTATTATCCTAAGGCCAGTAACTGACTTAAAATAATCATCTTACTAACACTATTCTATGACATTCACCCAATTACTTCTAATTTATTTGAAAGTCAGTAAATGAACTAATCTATTTGGCAAGTGGCATTGCCTCCTTTAAACCTTAGTCAAAGATCTTTTTTCAAAGGTCATTTAAAATGGGAAAGATAAAAAGATTCTGCTGACTAAGAGGATTACACTGTCTTCTTAACTAGATTTTTCTTTTTTCTTTTTTTTTTTTGTAAATATATAACAACGTGTTTTTTTTAAAGGCAAGTAAGAAAAATGGGAAGTCTCAGTTCTAATTTATCATAATATATATAAGGAAGAAAGCATGGAATTCTTGAGAAAATTGCTAAGGAAAAAGGAGAAAGAAAGAGGTCTCAAAGGACCCATTCCATACGCATCCTCACAAATGTGCATCTCTACAGGAAGTGGCTAAACAGCAGAATATCCCAAGTTGGAAAAGATTCACAAAGATCACAGAGTCCAACTGCTGGCTTCGCACTGCACCACCCAACATTCAAACCCAATGTCTGAAAGTGTTGTCTAAACACTCCTTGAACTCCAGAAGCTTGGGACCACAACCACTAACCTGGGCAGCCTGTTCAAGGGCCTAATCACCCTCTGGTGAAGAACCTTTTCTTAATGCCCAACCTGACCCTCCCTGATACAGCTCCATGCTGTTTCCTCGGGTCCTGTCACTGTCACCAGAGAGCAGAACTCAGTGCTGCCCTTCTGCTCCCCTTGTGAGGAGCTACAGCTGCCATGAGGCCTTTCCTCAGCTCTGGCCTGAACAAACCAAGCACCTCAGCCGCTCCTCACACTCCTTGCCCTCCCAGAACTTTCACCATCTTCATAGCCCTCCCTTGGATGCTCTCTAACAGGTTTATGTCCTTACATCATGGCACAGAAACCTGCACCCAGTGCTGGAGGTGAGGCCACACAGTACAGAGCAGAGAGGGACAACCCCTCCCCTTGCCTGGTGGCAGTGCTGGGCCTGGGCACCCCAGGGTATGGCTGGCCATTGGGGCTGCCAGGGCACACTGCTGACTCATGTTCAACTTGCAACCAACAGAATCCCCAGATCCTTTTCAGCCCCTCATTCCCAAGTTCATATGCACATCCAAGATTGCCCAGTCCCAGGTGCAGAATCTGGAATTTCTTGGACTGAAGTTAAACTTCATGCTGTTGGTGATTGCCAAGCCCCCCAGTTTATTAACATCTCTCTCAAATGCCTCTCTACACTTGAGGAAGGCAACACCATACCTTCAAGACCTGTATCCAAGTCATCAATGAAAATATTAAAGAGAATTGTCCCTGAAATGGAGCCCAGCAGAAACCCACAAGTGACTGGTCAACATCCTGATGAAACCCCATTTGCTTTTGTCCTTTGAGCTGGACCTGCCAGCCAGTTGTTCACCCATCAAGTAATGTATTTGTTTAACTACACACTAGATACTTTGTTCAGAAGGATACTACAAGAAACAGTTATCGAAAGCTTTGCTGAAATCCAAAAAGCTTGTATCAATTATTCCCCTGTGAAATTTGGGTAACCCTGTCATAAAAGGAAATTAAGTTCATTGAACAGGACTTTCCCCTTATGAACCCACGCTGTCTGTGACCAATGACTGAATCATCTTTTATATGTTTCTCAGTAACCTCCAGAACAAGCTTCTCCATAATTTTGCCACGCGTTGACTTGTGATTGACAGGCTGTAAATACTGGTATCTTTCTGTTTCAGTTAGAGATGACTAGATGCAAAATCAGCATGATGATAATAATGCTCTTCAAACTACCCAAAATTTTGAAAATGCAATATTCTGAAGTGCACAGTCCACATTATGTCTGCTATGAAAAACCATGCTTTGCTGATTTTGTTGTTATTAAAACCCTTGTTCTCTGAACCCTAACACAATACTTATATGGAGAATATATACCATACTGCAACATACTGGCAATTACTAGTTGTTGCTATCTCTTCATCCTCAGGTTCTGTTTCCAGTGCCAGCTAACAATTCCTAGAGCAACAAATTGTTGGATTTTGTTTACCCTGGAAATTGCTAGTTAGTCAATGAACCTGCTATAGACAAGTAAACAAAGAGCAGCTAACCATTCCAAAATGGCTACAACTGCACTGATGACTTAAATCAGAGTAACGACAGCCACACACAGAGAACTGTGAAAGTCATGTAAGACAGCCAATCTGGGTTCATTCTTTAGCTGAGTGGAATAGCTACTGCAGATCCACACTTTTCAAAGAGTAATAGACAAGGATCCAGTAATGAAAATAGCTGAGACGTTTGAAAAGAAAAGCATCTTGTGCCACTCTGCAGATTTTCCCAGGCAAAGTTTCAAGCTGTCTCTCTTTAATCATATTTCAGAAGAGTGTTCAAGTTCTATATTATGAATTCACTTCTTGTTGAGAAAATCTTTCTTGCTTTTAGCTGCTACTTCTGCTGGAAGAAACATTAACTGCAAACATTATTGCTCACTTCTAACATTGAAAAACAAGACAGCTAGAGGGGAAAAATGACCTCACCATTTGCTGAACACAGAATCCTTTCTCTTACAGAGAAATGTTGTCCAAAGCAGTAGTTGGACTCTTCAGAAAGGGCTTATTAAGGACGTGTGACTGTATTGTTGCTTTAAAAACAGTGCTATTTCCTTCTGTTTAGAGCAATCTGGTTAGTTCTTTATTTTCCATTTTGGAATCCTAGCATTCAAAGTGGAATTGGGTCTACAGGACAGGCAGATTTTAAACAAACTCCCTCAATGCCCTCAGCTAAGCCCAGCTCATTAATATTATCAAAAATAATGAGCCATCAAAAGTAGCTTTAAGAAGCTCAAACAGAACACTTAACAGAAGCCTTTTTGTACATTTGAATACTCTGCAAATGAAAAAATTCAGAGCTGGCAGAAAAAATAAAAATAGTTGCCCACAGCAACATTTAAGTCTTAACTAAAAAAACAAAAGAAAGAAACAAAATCCAACCCAAGGCCTCATGAGATCTTCCCCATTCTGCTTTTCTACAGCTAGAAGGTGTTCAAATACTGAGACTGAATGAAGCACACTCTCTGTTTTAAAAAACAAACAAACAAAAAGTTTATGAGTTAAAATCCTTCATCTGTTAACTACTAATATTATGGTAGTTGAATTGATTGAATATCTATGTTTAGATGAATCTTCCAAATGTTAGAAAGACAGAAAAGAAAAAAACATACATAAATTTGTTTTCTTTTAAATGGTTGCTAAAATGTAGCTAATTATGGTTTTCAATAGGATCCTTTTCGTCATAGAAGCTCAGTCCTGTTTCTTTGATCAAAGTTTTCAAAGAGTTTGAGTACCAGAAGCATGCTAGTGAATGTAATTACAATTAACAATACTGTAATCAAAACTGGCTTGGCTTCTGAATAAAAGGCTAACTGGAAATATGTATAACATGTACTCCTTTTAAGAATGTGTGCAATTGCTCTCTCCCAAAACAACTTAGCCCAAGTTAAAAAGCTTGAGAAAGCATATGACTTGGGATTATTACAAAACAAACAAACAGTGAAAGAAAAGTGGGAAGATTCTTTCCCAAAATAATTCAGCATGAATGCTTCATGAAGTTTTTTCTTCCTTTGGGACTTGTGAAAGAAAAAAAAAAATTCTTACTTCATCTCTCTGCAGTATCTCTTGTAAGAGACAGGAAGAAGACTTTACCATAGAGTCTAGTTCAAACTTATCCTGCATGAAATGCCTTTCTGGATAAGCAGTTTGATAAAACGGATATTCACCAGTGCACACTGGGCACAAGGATCACTTTTTATGCCAGGTACAATAATTTTTCAAACACATCCCAGGCAAGTTACCAGGATAAACTTTTGTAGAGAAACTGTGTTTTGCTATGATGGATATTAATTCACTTCAATGAAAATGTCAGGACTTGCACTGGAAAGGCAGCTCTTTAAAGTAAAATTCCCTGTGACCCTAGAACTCTCTATATTAAAATAAAAAGTTAGATTAGCTCTTGTTGGTAACCTGTGCCCTCAAGATAAAGAAGGAAAAACTGCATAAAGCTTTATCCACATCATTCTTTGGAAGATCATGAGTTTAAACATATGGCTAATATGCCACTTCCTTGGGCATTTAAGCGTAAGCCTGTAATCATTTAATGTGATACTATTTTTTCCATCACATGCTGAAGATGCCTCATTTTACACAATAACCAGTTTTCAAATGTAAATAAAATTTCATGTTATAGGTATGGGAAACTGACTGTATTGTCTGCTACATCAAAAGAGGCTGCTGTACTTTCTCAGCAGTACCTCCCTGAATGTCATGTGTTCCCCTGTGATTGACTGTTCTGTGCTTGTGTGAGTATTCTGTGTTGTCTCTGCAGAATCCCCCCAAAGACTGTCACTGTTCAGTTCAGGCTGCTATATAACTATTTAAACAAAAGGTGATAGCAGAATACCAAACAACAGTGGTGAAACTTACATGATGGCATTCACTTTCTAAGTCAGCATTTATCAAATACAGCATACATATTTCATAGTATTATGCTCATAAACAATTCGCACATGCTTACAGAAATTCCAAAGACAATAGAAAACCAAAACATGAGGTAATGACATTTGTTCAAAAATGGGGAAAAAGAAAAGCAAGCTCATGGAATGAGTATTTTTTTTATAAAATTATAATCACATTTTTTACTCTGGTTGCCTATAATCTCCTTATATTTTCTGCAGCAGAAAGTTAATCTTTTTTTTTTCCAGGATACTCCAAATGAGTCAAACTCCTGCATATTTTCCACGT